CGAGCTAAATTTGACACCGATTCCTTAATATTCTCGTCTTGTCATTTTTTCTTTTCTTTTTTCTAAATCATTTCTGACTGATATATTTAAAATATTTTATAAATCCTATTTCGTCTCATATCTCCTGCACGATTATCATTTTTCCCTTTTTTCTTTTTCTTTTTTTTTTTTTTTTTGACACTTCGTATCAGAAGACTTCCCTTCGAGCAATGTTGACTCAAGCGACGTTGGGAGGTGGGGGGGAGATAGCATCTTATCGACCGAGTTGACATGACGCATGCGCACATTTTACTTTATCAAGCATTTGACCCAGGTACACAAAGGTCGACATTAATTTAAAATGGTGGAATCAACTCTCGTAAATAAAGGCTTTTGGACAGTATATATATCACCATTTTCGGTTAGTGGAGTAATAAACGAGACGCGAAGACTGAATTGAGTTGAGAAGTTAGAAAATAGGTGTAGCTTGAACATTTCCAAAGCCGTCGGAAATGAAATTAATTTATCTTGTATTGTGAAACGTAAGACAGAAAATTCACAGCTACAATTCGAGGCAATACTTTTCGTCAAATTAGTTTAATGGACGGGCCAAAACGTGCAATCGCTTTTTGCCAATAAATGAGATTAAGAACATACAGCTGTTTACTTCATGTAAGATTTAAAGATCATTTTAGATTAAAATGCTACAGAGACTCGTGAATAAGATAGTAAAGGGGAGCGATAAGAACGGACTAGGCATCAAATGAGAGAAAGCAGAATGTATGGTCGTCAAGAAGAGAATGCTCCAAGTTGCCAGATAATCAAAATCAATCAAATGCAGAAGTTTCAATATCTTGGAAGTGTTTTAACAGAGGACAGAAAATGTGACACAAAATTCCGAAGGTGCATTCAAATAACGAAACATGTCTTCTGAAAGCTAAACAATGGATAATGGAAGAAAAATGTCAGGAATAAAGATGGTTTGGTTTGGTTTATGTCATATCAACCTTAATGGATTATCTAACTCCAACAAGATTTTTTATTGCTGGTAATAATCTTTTTTAAAAAAATATGTTGCTGGTAATAATTCTTTTTTTTTTTTCAAAAATGTATTGCTTTTAATAATCTTTTTTTCAGAAATGTGTTGCTGGTAATTTTTTTTTTTTAGAAATATATTGCTGGTAATAAACTTTATTTAAAAAAATGTGTCGCTATTAATAATCTTTTTTATCTCAATAATATATTGCTGGTAATAATCTTTTTCTTTTTTTTTTTTCAAAAAATGTATTGCTGGTAATACTTTTTTTTTTCAAAAAGTACTACTGTTAATAATCTTTTTTTTTCAGAAATATGTTGCTGGTAATAAACTTCTTTTTTTTTCAAACATGTATTGCTGGTAATAAACTTTATTTTCAAAAAATGTCTTGCAGGTAATTTTTTTTTTTTTTTCAAAAATATATTGCCGGTAAAAATTTTTTTTCAAAAAAATATGTTGCTGGTAATAATTTTCTTTTTTCAAAAAAATATTACTGGTAATAATGTATTGTTAGAAATATTTTTTACCAAAAATGTATTGCTGGTATTAAAACTTATTTTTAAATTTCCCAGTGTTTTGACCCCAGTTTAGGGTTTAACTATTTTGCCCAAAGCTGGAACCCTAACAGGTACTACAACCCTGGGTCAGGTTGGACTTGGGAAAACTAGCAATTAAGAGGTGGTTTCACTATCCTCAAAGCTCCTGAACAGAGGCCTTGCTGCCGGATGTAGTTCATCGTCATACCCAGAAAGTCTAGCAATAAAGAAAAGAGTGTTGAATTGATATATAATATCAGCTCATAGATTCTGGGCAATTTCATCACAGATGAAAAAGAGATTTGAGGTAACAGGTCCAGCCGAAGGATGCTGACAATGACTGAACAAGTGAGCAACGACGGACATTTATGAAAAAAATGAATAAAAGGGTAATTTATACATAAAATCAGCAAGGGACTAATGTAATTTCTGGGGTCATAAAGATGGTTTGAAAAATTTGACCCTTGCGGAGCGCATTGAAGTCAAGATGGGCAGAAGTCTACATCGAGTAACCTGTCTAACGTGTTCGTGTAAACGGATGACAGAATAGAGAGGGGAGAATGCTAGAACGAAAAAGATTATTCAGAGCTACAAAGGATAAGAAGTTATGCAGAACAATGATTACCCCCATTATTCGCTCAAAAGGCGTATCAAAGGGAGAAAAATATGAATACAGTTTATAATTTACTGCCAAAAGTCGGACATGTTTGAGATGTATACGCTCGTCTACTGGCGATCTCTCATGAACCATGTTTAGGCTACAGAAATATAGCATAAAGGCATCTACAGCTGCATGCTAATTACCACATCTTACTCAGATGAGAACCGCCTTCTCACCCTTCACATGTAATATCTTCCGTCTAGTTTCACCGTTCACGGCCCATAAGTTAAATCTCAAGACCAATATTCGATTTAATAGGTATTATGCATATTTGAAAGATAGACACTGTATTTTTTATTAGGTTGTTTGGATCTACAAGACCTGCAACGGTTCTGTGTACCTTCTCAGTTCAGATGATGATCAGCAAAACTTGTTGCAAAAACGCAGGTATTATTGGAAGGAGGATGAGACAGGTTGCCATAGTATTCTTGCTTCTGGTTCTCATGATGACTTTTCAGATGGCTTACATAATCTGCCCTCGAAAACAGCATGGGTTCACACACAGACACACACACATCACTTTCAAGACTGTATTGTAGTTGGTAAATCAATATAAGTGCCTCTTCGTAGATCAAGCTTGATCTGAGCATGACTGAGACATGCCACCTTTATTAAGTGCCTCCACTGTACGAAGACACTTCTTCCTAATGCTGCACATCAATGTACAATGTATTCAGATGATCTTTCGAATTATCCTTAATCCTCTTTCTTGACTCGTATTGTAGCCGCTTTTTTGTCTTCAGTTCCACGTAGAAAAACTCTTTTGAGAATCCTGTTTTACCCTATTCTCACAACGTGCCCTGTCCCTGGTATCTCGTTGAGGATTATTATTATTATTTAAATACTGTTGTTAAAATAGCATTCAGTGCACCGTATTGTGGGCTCTTTGTAGGCGCACCCCAGGTGGAAGGGTAAACGTCACTTTTGCCTTCCTCAGGCTAAACCTCTTTCCAAAAGCATCACCAGCGGCAAAAAAGCGATCCATGATGAGTTAAAAATCCTCCCCCGAGTTCGTGAAAAAAATTGTATCATCAGCAAACAACAAATCTCGGAACAGGAACACAAATTTATTGGATTTGGTGGTGGACCTTCTAAGATTGAACACGCTTCCTCATGTTATAAATCTCAAGGGGACACCTGCTTCACAGTCCTCGAAGGCATGTGATCAGAGCGCAGCAAAGTAGATTAAGAAAAGTGTTGGCCAAGAATGGTCCACATGGCATCACGATTTACGGTGTCAAAAGCCTTGGTTAACTCCACGAACACCTCGTACATTCTTACGCTCTGTTCAATGCATTTCTCCTGTAGCTATCTTACCGAGGTATTCATTTCTGTAGTACCCCAGTACGCCCTAAAAGCCACTGGAATAACTAGAGAGCATATGTTGTATCAACAATGAAACAAAGACATCTACAGCAGTGTACATACATACAGACAGATGTATATAATGTATATTTAGACAAAACTCCTTCTATACATGTTTCATTGAATTTGACAAACAAGGATAATGTTTCTTATTCAGATTTTCTAGTGTTCTTATAGTTTTTTCATAAAAAATAATAGTGTGGAGAAACTGTCCCTAGTGAATACAGTCCCAAGCGCTTTCGGTTTCCTTGTTAGTATATTTTTGTTTGGATTCTGTGATGTGTTTTATTAAAGTAGTATCACGTCCATGTTGGGCTACCTTCAAAAAACATCCAGTAGGTTTCGTCTAGTTTCAAAGTAAGGTTAAATATAAATTTGTAGTGTTGTATAAAAAGTGCTTCCATTATCTGTAAACGTATTTTGCAAGTAGATTTTTTTCAAAAATGACAGTATTATTTAAAAGGACTTTTCTTATGGCTTCGGGTATTTGGGTACGAGTGTTTAAGTGTTTCCTTACAGAACTGTGATCATTCAAGTGGTTAGTTAGACATCTAATTAAAAACTTTGTCATTACCAATGTTTTCTTTCGAAGTTCATTAAAATTATCACATTAAATTTTAAGATTGATAGATTTTACTCTTATAGTAAGATTTATACGTTTACAAAGGTATGCAGGTTTTATGCATTGCTTTATAAATATCGAATCACGAATTCGTTTTATTCATAATTTAATGTATTTGTTTCAGCAAAACTTGTTAATGTTGCGATGGGCTGTTTTGATAGTGTTAAGGCAGCTTAATTACTATAGGCATGATGCTATTTGGTTGTGAATAACGCAGTTGGGTTGTTAACTAATCTTTGCTTTAAGTAAATGTTTAAGTTCGCGGAAAAAATATATTCCGGGAAGAATAAATTAATTATGCTTGATTAAGAAAGCATACATACATATATATATATATATATATATATATATATATATATATATATATATATGTGTGTGTGTGTGTGTGTGTGTGTGTGTGTGTGTGTGTGTGTGTGTGTGTCAAATAAAGAGCGAGAGGGAGATAGAATTGACCAGCGATGTTTGTTTAATGCATGATATACTGATTGTAATGGTTTAAGACAGTCACAATTTCTAATGATGTATAGTTGATTAAAAATGGTAATCATCTTTAATGTCTATGATATTCAAATATATAACAAACAGACGGACAGACCAGCAATTCTGGGTTTCTGATCGCTGAATTTGATAAGTTAATTTAGCTTATTGCTAACTCTTATCCTCAGAAATCCCAGTGCATTTTCCATACACACATTTTTGTCTTTTTACTCTAACTTGGAGAACCCGAGACTAACAGAACTTCTCGGTGATTATAGCTTTTCCACTTTGTCTTATTATCTTCATATATATATATATACATACATATATATATAGATAGATAGATAGATAGATAGATAGATAGATAGATAGATAGATAGATGTTTCATTAAAGACGACAGACAAGTTACTGCAATTAAGCTTTTTATTTAATTTTTCTTGTGTTTGAAGAAGTTTTCCTTTTCTGGGGACAGAATGCCCACTCAGATGCAAAAAAGCAGTGATAAAAAAAATTCCTAAAAAGAGCACGCCAGAATTCATCCTTTCGTCTCTTTTTCCTTCAAGAACTGAACAATTCAAAACAAGCAATAATTAACAATGACTTTCCTAACAATCTTATCGACGGCCAAATTAGATTATTTCTTTCCAAAGCAAATCATAATGATAATGAACACACAGTCAAAAATAATATAAATACTTTCTACAAAAGCCAAATGCACGTCAACGACAAATAAGATGAATCTTTATTTAGAAATATCATAATGAAATACACTACCCCACTTGACCTGAATAAGAAAAATCAAATTATCCCTACAAAAAATTACAACATGAAGAAAAATGTTTAAAAATAATCGAAGCCTTAATAATAATAAAAAAGCACACAATAATAATAACTACGAACACGGCCACAATATGCTAGCTGTGTTCGAAAAATGAAACATCTTTATAACTCTAGAAAAATACACACAACCCATACACCCTTTTAAAAAGCAAAAAATAAAATCATCCTTGATAATGGCTAAAAGTATAGCCGAAAGCGCTCGGAATTACAAGATTATACACATTCTATGTCCAGAAAGGAAAACACTTGTTCTAAGATAAAAAAATTAAATAAAAAGCTTAATCGCAGTACCTTGGCTGTCGTCTTTAATTAAACATGTATAAATGAAGGATTGCTGCCTAAATACACAATATATATGTGTATGTGTGTGTGCGTAGGTAGGCTATTTCTTATTTTGACACAACAAATGTTTCAATTTAATCATTCTTATCGAGTTTAATTCATCGCTCCTAACAAGGAATGTTATACAGTGGAAATTTCAGAACAACTGTAATAGGCTACGGACTTATTGATCCAATTATTTATCTACATTTATATTTATATTTATTATTATTATTATTAGTAGTAGTAGTAGTATATGAGGTAATGTGACCTAAAAGTTAAGTTCGTTTGTATCCAGCTAGTCCAACGAATTCAAATATAAACAGCCAATCAGAAAGAACAGCAAACAATTCCACTATATCTTATCTGACGTATTTCAAAAAGTAATGTTTAGCAAACAACGTCTCCTGACAACCCTTCTTTTCAGGTAGCCCCGATTTCAATTTCACTTGCAATCTTTACCTTTCGTTTCAGATTTTTCTCTCACTTTACGCATGGTAAACGATCTTTTAACTTTTGTCAGCCATTAGAGTCTTTCGTTACGCCTTTTCAGCATTCTCCCTCCGCCTCTCGACTGTTTTCACTTTCTTTTCTTTTCTTTTTTCTTTCACCTTTTACTTTTTATTTTATTTTATCGTTTTGCTTTTTGACATTTTTTTTCTTTTTTTACGCGTTGTGTTTTCCTTTGATTTTTCTATTTATTTTTATTTTTACATTTTACTTTTTTTCTCTCTCTTTCTGCTTCTTGCAACCTGTCGGCCATGAAAACGAATATAGGTCACTGTTCGTCCACTCTTTTGAATCTTATTTTCGTTGTGCGTCGTTGTGTGTGTCTGCATGCGTGCGCGAATACATTGGGGTGAATAATTTTGTTTATTCACCTTGGCTTTACACGTCAGCGTTTTCCTACCTGTTTTTTAAGCATTTTATATTCAGGGAGGTATTCCTCTACCTATCTATTAAATACAGTACACAGTATATATATATATATATATATATATATAGTAATAATGAATATAAATTTTATTCTTCAAAGACATTATATTTATATGCGCGATACTTTTTAGGTACCTCCAAAGAACAGCGATACACAAGTATTAAAAGAAATTTTTAAAACTGAAATATTTTTCATGGATCTTTTATTTTGCTTTTAAGTGCAAGCTAATAGATTAAATTTAATATTTCCAATGAGAAAAGTAATTTGCTGTATATCAAAACGAATTTAAATTGATTGTAGTTATTTTTGTTTTGAAAATAACTAAAAGGTGGTTGATTTTTTTTTAGCCATATTTACAAATCTGTCAGCACAACGTAATTCTTTTTATTAAAAACGCTTTCAAAAACGAATTATATTTTCAATTATTTTCGCTGCGGACTTTTTAATTTATCCTCATCCATACAATCACATGCACACACATTAATATGAAGGGTACTGAGATTTTTTCCACCTCATGTCTAGTCTCGTCTTGGTCCGTATATATATATATATATATATATATATATATATATATATATATATATAAACAGTTTCCCCTTCGTGAGCACCAGATATTGTGTATTGATACAAAACTGGATTTAAGCCTGTATTCAGCAAGTCAAACAATAACCTATAGTTTTATTGTCATTTTAATATAAGATAATGGCCGGTACTATTTTGGAGAAAACTCCACTGCTATAGCGGCTAGTAAAGGCTAGACGCACATTTATGCTCAGATATATTTGTGTTTGTCCAACCTCTGCAGAGCTCACCTGTAATTTATACTGCGACTATGATTAGAGATCTTTAGTCACAGTTGCTGGGAGAGAGCGATTAATCTGGCATGATCGCCATTTTGAACAAGACCTGTATACTCAAACTCTCGGTAACGACGACTTTCGACTTCGTCCTCTCATAATGGGATAGACTTGGCATTGATGACATTGCATGTGAAGTCAACGGCTACGGCGGAAGGTTTCCCTCAATTGAATCTACAGTAACGTGTCCGTGAATAAGGCAAGGTTTGAAGCTCGAAGACATGGGCTGGGGTGTCTGTCCTGGAGAGTCATGAGCACCGCCCGGTTTACGTACCGAAGACACGCTACGCATGAATGAATGCATCACCGTCGTTCAACCCAGATATATGGAGGGAACTGGTCAGTGGTTCAACTGCGCAGCGACCAACCAACGGATCACGGTCGTGAGATTGATGATGGTGGTGTTGATATCACGAAGTTATACATCTTTACATAATTTTAGTTACTTTTGGGATTCAAACGATCACCCGTTTGACACTTTTGTGATGTCAACGAATACTCGTTGTCACTTTCGTAATGCTCGTTGTAGTAGAGATTTTGTAATCGGCGATACAACTATAGTAACGCCGTTGAACAATACTGGTGTCAGTCGCCTTCGAACAGCACTAACAGCACTTGCTCAATAATACTCGCACGAATAGTAATCCGTATAGAAAATAATATAGAGAGTACAGAATAGCAGTCCGTATAGTAATAGAGGATAGAGTAGAGAGGATTTCCTGTATATGCGTTTCGTCTATGGTCACCTTAATTCAATAATGGGATCGCCTGTTTACTCACTGGCGATCTGTGTTCATACTCAAGTGTCGGCAGCTACACTTTATTCCGATATAACAGTAACATAAATGATTAGTTTCAGTGATTGAGAAAAACACTGACGTAGATAAAAAAAACAGATTGCTTATTTATGTTATATAATGCACGTTTAGCTTATTTAACGCAGATCACAAATTTTAGTTCATTTACATGACATAGATCACAAAATATAGCATATCTGTGTCATATCAAGAAGATATCACAAATTTTACTTCATTTAAGTGACATAGATCATAAAATATAGCTATCTGTTTCATATCAAGAAATTAATGTACTATAGACCATGTATGTTAGGTTATTTGCGTAAGGTAGATCACGAAATTTAGTTCATTTACGTAAAAATATAGCATATATGTGTCATAAAAAGAAATTAATGTAATATAGATCAAGAATGTTAGATCATTTGTGTAACGTATATCACGAATTTTAGTTCATTTATGTGACATAAATCACAAAATATAGCATATCTGTGTCATATCAAGAAATTAATGTAATATTGATCAAGAATGTTACCTTATTTACGTAACGCAGATCACAAATTTTAGTTCATTTACCTAACATAGATCACAAAAATAAATATTTTTTTCTAAGTGCCATGCGTGATACACGCTTAGGCGATCATATATATTTCGATACATGACTGACGAGGCAGAATTTTCCCGCAGTAGGTTGCCATTTCTTTTTGCAGTATACCAGTTGCCATCCAAGGCTATAGAACCCGGTCTGTCCTGCTATTTACCCATAGCTGTGGGGAGAAGAAGAAGGTTCATACCTTTCCCAACGGTATTAGCACGTAATGTAATGGATTCGACTGGAATTTGAACTCGGCTCTCCGATTTCGCTATCCATTACTCCACCCTATTTGGGGTATATGCAAAGAAAACAAGAAAGTAATGCAATATAGATAAAGATTGCTAGCTTATTTACGCAACGTAGATCACGAGTTTTATTTATCAGCCTATCATAGATCACAAAAGTTATCACATTTGTGTCATATCAAGTAAGTAATTAAAGACAGATCAAGATCTTGAAGGTTATTTTTTATTCATGTAGTCTCATGAAAATTAACTTGTTTAGGTAACAGCCAAACAAACGTAAGCTTAGTTACCAAACGCACATCACGTAGACCAGGGGTCGGCAACTCTTTCGACCCCGCGGGCCGGATGGTGTTATAATGACTGGTCGCGGGCCGGACGAAGTCCATTAATGAAAAATTAAGGAAAATTACATATGCAGACCCCTGTCAACCTAAATATTTAAAACCATAAGGAAAATAAACATTGAGAAATCAGAAAAAACAAAAGTAAATCTAAAATTAAAAAACACCTAAAAAAAATGACTTTTCCTCAAGGAACGTCAAAATACTTCAAAGTGAAAAAAATCAACCGAAGTGAAATGGATGAAATTATGACGTGTAGGTTTGAAACTGTTATTGAAAATTTTTCCACAAACGAACCACACACACACACACCAAACAAAAACGAAGCACATACATACGAATACAAATAGTTGCAAACATATACACTTACGTACGTACAGATGCGGTATCATCCACACATTCATGAGGCATGTATGTATAATGCGCGTATGTTTAACTGTCTTTAGATTTCTGCTACC